CCCGTATCGTTGTGGTACAGTACACTATATTGAATATGAATCAAAGCTTTTCAAGAATGAGATCACTTTTCTGTTCTAGTTTATTCTAACGCCGAAAGGCATCGTGTTCCTATCGCAACTATAAGAAGTATAGTTCAGAAGAAGCCGTTCAGAAGTAATAATCCATCCCGCCGTAGATGGTGCCCTTTCTCGACTCACCATCCAGAGCTTCTGCAGGTTCGGCATGTGGTTCGCGAGCAATGACATTGACACGGCACCTTCAAACATCAAATCCAAGCTGGTAATGTTGGTGTAAGTAATTCCTTCAGCAGCGGCCATCCTCAACCTAGAGAGAGAGGCCTGAAGGTCCCTTCAAGGTGATACCACAAAGGCGATGATGACTGAGAAATCACCAAAATCGGCAGTGTACTCGACTCAAGTACATCTTCACTAACACCAGACTGCTTCTAGTACGAGCCAGATTCAGTTTCTGCATTAAGATTGCCATACAATACAGAGTCAAATATGTGAGATTTACGGTATCGTTAGTGGTTCAAACATAGACTCCAAGTCGAATGTATTTCCGAGATAAACCCACCTCACCCTTCAACTGTTGATATTTGCTTCGACTGTCTCGATTCAGGGCGTTCTCCATATTGAGGATCGACAGTCATCGACACTACTGCAAGGACTAGACCACAACTCAACTCAGTTTCGAACCAGTCTCATCACAATAGTGACGAGAATAGCCGAAGCGACCGAAGATACTGAAACGGTTCGATACAGAACACGTCCAATGCATGACAGCCGCTACTACCCACCAGTTCAGTACTGTATAACTCAACAGCCAACTTTGAGCCCAGAAGCCATTTCAATGGTTAAGCCCTCCCAACAACAGCCGATGTAATTCTGCTGCTATCAGCAAGTCTTAGAGAACCCTTTGTAGCTCTTGCTACTTACTGAGCACCGATGAAACGGTCAAGAGAACCCTTAGAAGAGAGCCACTGAGCGTGAACTCCCATGGGGATCAAACGACCCATGGCCTTGTACTTCTGGTAATCGTCCTTGGTGAACCGAGTGAAACCCCAGTTGTGGGAGACATGGATCTTTTGGCGACCGGGGATCTTAAACTTGGCACGCCTGAGAGCCTCAACGGCGATCTGCTCCTTATCCAACCTGGTTCGGATGGAGATGAGCACTTGGCCGATGTTGACACGAGCGCAGGTGCCGTTAGGCTTGCCGTAAGCACCACGCATACCGGTCTGGAGCCTGAATGAAATGAGGAATTAATTGACTACAGAATAGCGGGTCCTTATTCTACCTATCGGCACCAGCACAGGAAAGCATCTTGTTGATACGGAGGACGTGATAAGGATGGACACGGATCCTCATG